AATTATAAAATTTGAAGAATGAAAGAGATCTATTTAGTGAAGAATTCCTGATATATAAGATTATCTGATAATTAATATTTAATATTATCTGTAAGAGTAAGAGTTTTCTTACACTTCAGAGAATGATCTTGCTATATTTAGATGTGAGAGCTGCAGAATGTCAAATATGACCTTATTCTCACACTTAATTGATTTCAAAGGTTCAATTCACAGATTTAATGATATACATATTATATGCAGTTGACTGATAAGAAGAAAACAGTTCATATAATTCTATTAACTGATATGAGAAGAATATTTCATGTCTCTGATATAGAAGAGTTAAATCTGCTTATACATTAATAAGTAAAGAGAATGATTTATAAGATCTTATCTGAAAGTATTCTGTATATCATACAGAATCTGAAAGTGAAGAAAATCAAGATAAAGAATATAGAGAAGAATAAGTGTATGAAGAAGCTTCTGAAGAAGTATAAGAAGATCTTCTAAACAGATCTTTCACTGAAATTGTCACTGAAACAAGGATTTGTATATGAGATTGATACAGAGAATATGAAATCAGTCAATCAAAATATATACTCTCTGTTGCAAATGTATCTTGAAGAATAGAAGTATCAGATCACAGACCTTCTGAAACATGATCTCATATAATTCTCATCAAGTGTGTAAGGCTTTCCAGTTCTATTCATACAAAAGATGAGTGAAGAGTGATGAATATATATCAATTATCAAACACTTAATAAGTTTATAATCAAGAATAAATATTCACTGTCACAGATTCAACAACAGTTGAATACAGTTGAAAATATCTGATATCTATTAAAGATTGATCTTCTCTCAGAATACTGATAAATCTGTGTAGATAAACTGTCAGTACTGTGAACAGCATTTAATATATAATAAGAGAAGTTTGAATTTCTGATAATATCATTCAGTCTGATAAATATGTCTGTTATCTTCAAATGATGATGAATACAATTCTTCATAAATAGAATAAAATCTCATATCTCATATATCTCAATAATATTCTAGTCTTTTCAAACTTATATAATAAATATCTGAAGCATCTTAATGAAGTGTTTATAACTCTGACAGAGTATAATCTCTACATCAAATTAACAAAGTATATGTTTGAAATGAAAGAGTTAAAGTTTGTAGAATATATAGTAAGTGATAACTGTATAAATCTCATTCTGAAGAAATTAAATATTATAGTGAATTGACTGTGATCAAGAAATGTATATTATATATAAAAGTTTCTTGAATTGATCTCATATTACTGCAGATTTATCAAGGATTTTATATAAATATCTGCATCACTCTCAGATCTCTTAAGAGAAACAGATACAAATCTGTGAAAGACAAAGTTTTATTCAATTATCTGAAATACTATGTGTGAGAAGGCTTTTCTCACACTGAGAGAATATATAATAACATTCTCAGTGCTTACTCAATCAGATTGTAATAAATCTTTCTATATTGAAATGAATGCATCTGAATAAGCTATCAGAGATACTCTTCTATAGATGAGTAAGAACAGCAAGCTACATCTGATGATATACAATAATAGAAAACTATCAGACACTGAGCTCAATTACTCAGTGCATGAAAAGAAATTACTAGTGATTAAGCACACACTGATGTTGTAAGATAGATATATTAATTACAGATATATAATAATAATGATTATGAATTATGAAAGTCTTGTCTATCTATAATTAATAATAAAACCTTTCAAATGCTTAGCATATTGAATCTCAGAGTTGTAAGTGTATAATCTACATACTAATTACTGAAATAGATCAGATGCTGTGATACCTGATACAATCAGTTACAGATCTGATTTTATAAGTGAGAATTCTGTGAATCAGATATAAGAAAAGTTTGTGTTAAATATGCTGAGAAGATGTAAGAAATCAGAATGAGTAAATATAATAATCTCTCACTTAAAGAATGATAAGATATTGAATGATAAGCATCTTGTAAAAGTGATAGAAGAGATGCTTCTGAACTTTAAGCTGAGAAAATTGAAAAATAATATTGTACTTTATCATGATCTAGAATATATAGAAGCTCTCTATCTGAAACATTCATTTAAATATAACTTGATGACTCACATGCACAAGGAATTCAGTTACTTAGAAAGCTCTAAACTTATAAGTATACTCAAATCAAGAGTATACTAGTCAAGCATGACTGAGAACATTCAGATATATACTCATGAGTGTCTGAATTATCAGATTGTGAAAGAATCTAAGAAAGGATTAGAATATGAGAAAGTATAACATCAGATATAATATATGATACAACTGTTTAAACAATGAGAAGTGAATTTCATAGATATATTACTGTAAACACTAAATGAAAATTATTAAATAATCACTACTATTAACTACACTACTGACTGATCAGTTGTGAAAGCAGTTTCAGAGATGATAGAGAAGATAGTGACAAAGTTTCTATATAATAAGATCTATATCAACTGTGAAATGCTGTGTGAGATTCTAACTGATAATAATGTGAATCTCATAGAAGAAGTAGTGAGGTATTTTATAAGTCAGTTACAGACAAGACATCATAGAACAACATCATATCATTCATGAATGAATAGAAAGATGAAACACTTGAATGAAATTCTGAGTAACATGCTGATGAAATATCTAGTAAGTAAGTCTATGAGATTATGAGATGAATATCTCAGTCAGGTACTATTAGTCACATGAATTCAGCAGCATGCAGTCTTCAAGTATTTATCATTCTATCTATTGTATGAATTGCATCCGCATATTCTGAAGAATGCTTCAGAAAAGATGAGAGAGAGAACAGTGATTGCAGACACAGTAGAAACAACAGTTGCAGATGCAACAGTTGCAGACACAGAATCAAGATTGAAAGAGATCAGTCACACACACACAAAAGCTAATGAGTTACTTCTGAACTAAGTAATTCAATTGAAAAGAATACAAGACTCATTAGTTAAGAAATTGAGTCTTAAGATCAGAATATGAGTTCTTATATATAATAAGAGTTCTGAGAAGTTTCAATCTAGATGATTTGAGTCATATAAAATACTCAAATCACATTCTCTGAGAATATATATATTGAAAGAATCAGAGAGACAGATCTTATACAACTTAATAAATAATTTATATCTTATAAAAGCAAAGATACAAGATCTGAGTGAATTATAATTATCTACAGCACTATCATCAGCATTGAAAAAGAAGAGACTTATAATTGAAAAGTCTTATAAAGTATGAGAAATCATAGATACTTATGAACTAGATGATCTCACTTATTCTGATCTTTTCACAATTATAAGAAAAGAATGAAAAGAAATGAAGAAATCAGATAAATATCATACTTTAATAAGTGATAAGACTGTAGCTGATCATATGATAATACACTGCAGATAGTAAGTGCAACACAGTAAAGAGCAGTCTCAGAGTGACAGACTTGTATATAAGTCAGATTGCAGAAGAAAAAGGAATTCAGAGTTGAATTCAACTGTTTATATCAGTTCAATTACAGAGATAACAGAGGATGAAGCATCTGAAATATCTGTGAATATATAAGATTAAGTCATCTTGATTCCTGAGAATACTCAGAGATTAGATGAGATTAGTTTCAATGAGCTGTTCACTGTAGTAATCTGAGTGAGTGAAGAGAGACAGTATAATGTGTGAGACAGAATCATAAGATAAAAGCTGCTGAACCTAGTTACTGAACACTGTATTATATAGAGATTATATAAGAGTAGTGACTAGCAGATAAAGAAAAAGTATAAGAAAGAAAAGAGATAATGAATTAATTATTAACTGTAAGAGTCAGCTGTAAAAAGACAAATTTTATCACACACATCTCACTCATTTTCATATATCACATGTTTAATCTATTTCCAACATCACATCATCTGAAAAACATTAAAAATAAAGAAAATCTCAAAACTTGAGATCTGAAAGAGATTCAAGAGTCATAAGTCACTCTTGTAATAATACTGTACATGTCTCTGATTTCTCTACTACTCTATATATGACATTAATATCATTTATTGCAAGATTGACTGAAATGTCAATATAGAAATGTGTATGTATATGTGTAGAAAAATTGAAGAAGAGCATGAGATTCACAGAATCAGAAGTCAGAACAGAGAGAACAGAGATGAAAGAAACAGAAGAAGAAGAAGATACAGAACTGAATGAATGACAGTAGAAGTCACTCAGAACTGAATACTTATAACTCAGTATATGCACAATCTTCTCTGCAGAAGAGAAAGAGAAAGCACTGAAAGAAGCTTAAGAGCAGAAGAGAATAGTCTCAGTGATGTGATTATCTTTGATTAAAATGACCTCTGGCACCAGAGTAACTAAGAACTATTATTAGTGTATAAAATCATAAAAGCAGAGATAATAATTACTGAATAAATATCTACTGATCTTAGAATTGTACATGCAATTACAACACACACAAGGCTTCTCAGAAACAGAAAGAGAGATATAGAGAAATGTAGAAAGCAGAATACAGTGTGTAAACAGCTCATTCTCATGACAATATCTCAGACAAGATATATAAGTCTCACACTCATGAGTGTAAAAAAGTATGACATTTATATTCTTATTTCTTAAAACACAGATATTCTTTATCTGCATTACAAAGTCAGATAATAAATATCAGAGAATAGACTGATACAGATCTATCATTTTAAAGGAATTTATCAGAGTGAATATATCTGTAATGTTAAACTTTATAATTATAAAAAGTCTCTTGATATCTGTGAATATTATGACTTTATATATAATAAAACTTATAATGATTTCTTCTAAGAACAGATAAATCAGTGTCAGAAAGAAAAAGATGAAAAAGAAAAAGAGTTATAATCTCAACACTGTTGAGAGAGAGAGTGATTCTCTAATATAAATGAATAATTGTCTTATCATGAATATTTAAAATGAATATAATAATCAGTGTTTAAGATCAAGCTTCAGATAGTCATGTTATACACTGTCTTTATATAATAAATTATTCTAGAGATCAGTAAGAAGAGCAGAAGTGTACATGCCAAGAAACATGATTCACTGAGTCTATGCAACATCTTCTTGAAATGAGAAGAGCTAGAAATGAAGGCAGCAGTAAGAGCCGGAGTAGCAGAAGTAGAAATCACAGAAACAGAGATAGCAGGAGTGAGAGAACCAGACACAGAAACAAGTGTAGAAGATTGAAGAGAAGTAGCAGAGAAAGAAACAGAGAAGAAAGCAGCAGAGAAAGAAGCAGCAGAAGAAGCAGAGAGAGACATAGAAGACTCAGTTATATATAACATAGATAATTTCTTCATTATCACATTCTTCAAGTTCTTAACTAATAATTCAATATTGAGGTATTCACTATTATCTACAGACACAGATCTGTCAATATGTGAAGATTCTATATGAATCAAAACAAATCAGCATCTGTATTAATATAAAACACAATCAGATATCTGCTGAGAAAAGAAGATTGAGAATATATAAGAAGATAAAGAAGATATATCATTTATAATAGTATATTCTAGTAATTATTAGAAGATAAACAAGTTCTGATCATATTTCATAACACATTACACTTACTGCTAACAAACTGCCTGATATGAGTACTACAATAACACTTGTTATAAGAATGAGAAGTCATCATCAGAAACATGTATAATGTAATAGATAAATGAATAAAAGATGTTGAACAGAAGAAGAAGCAGAAATCTTAAAGAAGATAATAACATTTAATGATGATGATAATGAAGAAGATGATTGAAGAATGAGCAAAGTTAGTGAATAAGAGATGTAATATAGTGAAAGTTTCTTTGTGAGAGTATACACAGAATACTAGCTGAATCAGAAATAGATCACACAATCATGAATACTAGTGATGTGCTAATCTGCATGAAGCTAGAACAGAAATTATGATCACATGAGCATGACTGAATCTGATGGAGAAGAATGTGGTTTGAAAGAATGTATAACTGTCAGATAATAACATGGTCACTTCTGAACTTGCTTACAAATATAAAGGAGTCATAGCGGCCATCAATTAATTTAGTGTACAGTATATAAGAAGTCAGCATACACCTGTAATTATACACTGGCTCAAGCAACCTTTGAATCACACTGTTTCAGATAATGCGGAACTCAGAGTTCAGGTCAGTTGATTATAGCTGACTCATTTCATGAGATATTATCAGTCACAGCTGCAGGATCTCTTATCAAGAATATTCTAAATCTCTCACTCAAGCTTATTATCTTCTTCTATGATGCCTGGTGACTGTCAGTTAAAAGTTAGTTGAGAAGGAAATGAATCAGTGACAGCACAGTGAAGCAAGCTTGTATGAAAAACATTATGAATCTCTGATGATATGTTAAGATGATAGTTATAACTATCTAGAACTTCTATCACTTTATACTTGTGACAGGCTGTGCCTGATCAATTATATAGACTATTTTGTTACACTCCACAGATTTCAATCACTTCATTCTTGAACGCGTACGCTCTGATTCTCGGCCATTCTTGATTGCCAATCCTCGGCCGCTACGAACACGTATATATTCTTCCGCCCCGAAGCTCCACCATGTACATCATCACATATATGTATAAATATTCATCTTGATCACTGATTCTTGCACTTTCTCTTTCTTTTCTTCTCTAACATTTTTATCTTTGTTATATAAGACCTATCAATATTATACTGATCTATTCAGTGTAGGCCTCTTACACTATAAAAATGTTCATTGTCTTCTCATTAGGAACAATTATTCATTGAGAGATATTCAAATATGTAATAATGTGTAAGAAAGAGAAAACACAGTTAAGCAGACACTGAGTTCTCAGATAGAAGCTTACTCATCAGTCACCCTGGCCCTGTAATAAAGATCTTATAAGAGAATATCAGTGAAAGATCTGAGAGTTCTGATACTCAGATATATGAGAATACAATTACATTTCTTCAGATTTCACAGATATTATACATCTGATAATTGATATAATCATATCTAATGATAATATGAAACCCTTGAATCTGAGTATAGATGTGATGTCACAGTGGCTCTGAGCAATGTTGAAATTACAACAGTAATAGATAGCAGACATGCATGCAACTCAATAACTCTAATACAAAGAGATTCAATAATTAATTCATGTGATTTCAACATCTACAGAACTAAATACAAAAGCACTGAAAGAATACTTGAATACTTCTGTATATTTCAATACTTCTGATCTCACTCTCTACTCATCATGAAGAATGAAAATACTCATAAAACTGAGTATAGATGAAGATGTTATCAGTTTATTAATCAATCAAGATTGATATATCAATGAATAATTGAAAGATTGTGTAAAATAGAAGTTCTATTCATGAATGAAAGCATGTGAATTAGTGTTGTGAATATCTGATAATATCATGAAATATCTTGATATTCTGTTTCAAGACACTGTCATGTAATAGAAAGTATTAGATTGATTATAGAGTATCTGACAGAGAAACACTTCTCTTACAACATTCATTTCTGACTTCAATATCAAGATTCTAGAAGCAGATGATCAATCTTGAGAGAATTGAATAAAGATTAGCATACTTAAGAAGATATTAACTTTCAAACTCTTATAGACTCTTATAAGCATAGATGAAGATCAGACTTATGAAGACTTCTGCACACAGCTCTGAACAATGAATGACTGTCTTATCAAGCTCAAGAATATATAGAACAGTGATAGAAGATATTATATCTCAGTGACTCATACACTCATGCTGAGAAATAACAATGATACAGATATTATGAATTGAGTAGACTTGAATATCTATATATAAGCAAGAGTCTCTGCTATCTGAACAGGCTTCTGAGTTCCTAGGATCACTTCTGTAGAAGTCACTGATTGATGTCAACATAAAGTGTGTATTAACTGTAATCAATCAGAACATATTACTTTCAACTGCTGATTAATCTATGTGTCTTCATACTTGAGAGAAAGATCAGCATCTTCTTATTTGAAGAATGAATCAGTGTCTGTCTGTGTCAATCATATTATATTAGAGAAAGATTTGAAAGATAACTATGAGAATGTCTCAGTGAAACAGAGAAAAGATTAACTTCTGTTCAAATTTATAAATAGAAGCTTGAAGAGATTGAATAACAATAATTTGAAGAGAAGATAACAATGAATACAATTCTTGTATCTACTGTGATTGATAATATGTATAATATGAAAGCTATAATAGATAGTGATCTATGTTACTATACAATGATAAAATCTTCAGTTGTAAGATATTATAATCTTCAGCATATCTCTTTATTAAAACCTCAACTTCTCACAGAATTTGATGATTCAAAAGACATTTGTACTCATTACATGATAAAGCTGATCATAGATGTGAGAGAACATCAACATGAAGATACCTATGTATATGAAGTTGATAATCTTGATTACAATCTTATGTTAGAACTTACCTGACTATCTAAATAAGATATCTTATTGAACACTTGAAACAGAAGCTTGATATTCTCTAACAATAATAGAATTCACAAAGATGACATTCACAAGACTATTGATCTGACACAGATCTCTATCAACATCTATGAAATACTCAGAAAAAGAAGTTGCTGAAAGAATTGCTGATAGCAGAATCATGTGTCAATCTATTCTGTCAGTCTGACTAATATTAAAAAGACTCTAGAAAAATTATTCTGTGTTATAATAACAGATTCTTATATAAAACTTTCTCAATAATATCATGAATATCTAGATGTCTTCTGATAAGATAATATTATTAACATACTCTTCTTATAAGATCTCAGAGTGAATCATAGTATCAAGTTAGAGAAAAAGAATGATAACAATCTTAAACTATTATAAGACTCTCTTTATAACATGTTCTGAGATAAACTTCTTCTTCTTCAAAAGACACTCAATGATCTGTTGAATAAAGCATTCATATACATTAGTAACTCTTTCATCACAGTCTCTATTCTCTTTGCAAAGAAATCAGGTGAAGAACTCTGATTCTGTGTGAACTACTGAGATCTGAACAGATTGACAAAGAAAGATTGATATTTCTTATCTCTCATCAATGAAACTCTAGCACAGATCAGATAAGCTTAATAGTGTATAAAACTAGATGTCATCACTGCATTTCATAAGATTTATATCACTGAAGAAGATGAATGACTTACAGCATTCTGAACATGTTATAATCTCTTTGAATGAATAGTCACACTCTTTGAACTGACTAATATTCTCAGTATATTTCAGAAGTATATTAACTAAGTGCTCTGAGATTTTCTTAATAAGTTTGTATCTGCTTATCTAGATGAAATTCTCATCTTCATCAATAAATTTAGAAAAGAATATCAAGAGTATGTGTGAAAGATATTATAATAGCTATAAGAAGCAGAACTACTGATAGATATTAATAAGTATGATTTTGAAGTCAAGAGTATCAAGTATCTGGGTTTTATTATAGAAGCTGGCAAGGAAATTTAAATGAATTCTGAGAAAGTCTCTGTCATTCTTGAATGAAAAGCTTCATATACTGTGAAAGATGTATGAAGCTTCATCAGATTTGCTAACTTCTATCAGTGATTTATATAAAACTTCTCAGATGTCATAAGATCACTTACAGATCTCACTAAGAAAGACTTAGTATTTCAATAATTAGTGAATGTCAAAGCTGTATTTATATAGATGAAGAAGATGTTTATTAATATCTCTCTACTGATAACATTTGATTCTGATTATAAGACAGTTGTTGAAGCTGATTTCTCTTACTATATAATAGAAGAAGTAATATTATAATATGATAATAAAGATGTTCTACAATCATATATCTTTATGTCTAAGAAACTGAGTCTCACTGAATGCAATTATGAGATCTATGATAAGAAACTTCTCATAATTATATACTGTTTAGAAGAATGAGACTCTGAACTCTGAAGTATCTTCAAATTTAAAATAGTCATGAATTATAAGAATCTCAAATACTTCACAACTATCTGTAAACTCATTAAATGACAGATGTAATAATCTGAGTTCTTAAGTTACTTTTATTTTACAATACACTACTGTTCTGATAGTCAGAACTCAATGATAGATGTTCTCTTATAATGAGAGTAAGATATGTCATCTGATATAACAGATACTCACTGAATGAATCAAGAGCATCAGCTCTTGAATCTGAAGATACTAGTTAATCAAGATGAAACAGTTCATGATACTATACATGCTTCTTCAGTTAGAACTGCTATTGATATCTTCACTTTCTCTACACTGAATAAACTGTGGTATACAGTAGCTCAGATGAATGAACTTCTTCAGACTCTCACTGAAGCAGTATATCAAGAAGCATCTTGATTTCTTCCAGAACTATATATAAGAACTGATATCTTAGAATGTTGAATCAA